TATATATATATATATATATATATATATATATATATATATATATATATCATCTTACAAAACCAGGTTATCTAATTTTAGTGCAGTTTTCAATAAAAAGTGTCTACATATTTAGGCAACAATACATCAATGCTCGTATAATAACTTATATTTAATTGTCAGTCAAATATTTTGTATTCTAACTTTTTCACAGCATTTGCCACATGTTTTGTTTTTGTTAGTAGAAAGATTTAACTGTATTTATTTATTATTTTACTTCTGATGTTAAAGCTCGGACACTGCTCTGTATGCTGCTTTTGGTTTGATAACTTCAGACGCTGCTGAGGGTGAGGGCGGTGTTTCATTCACCGCCTGCTTCATGAGATTGCAGAGAGTAAAAGTATTTCATCTCTGAAGAACAATCTTTGTGTAATTTGTGGATTTATTTTTCTTCCGAACTGAGGAAATCTTTTGAGTGCATCCACGTCACGACCCCCTTCCCCCTCCTGTCTCGCTGTTGTTGTCTTAGTGGCTTGTTTTTAAGCATTTTTCAAATTTATGCAGTCAGTATGGCTAAAAGACACAAGCAAATTTCACCATGAAACATAATATTTTACAATTTGTACATACAAATGGATTGAGATTTATTTATTTGTTTTGAAAATAGTAAATAAAGTTGTATTTGCAGTAAATGACATGTAACACGCGTTAGAGTTGTGATATCCTTTGAAGGCCTGCCACTCAAATCATTCTTTTTGAATATTTTTAGGTGGTTTATTGCTCATGTCCTAAATTTTAAGGCCTAATAGTGTGTTTAAAAAAAATTAAAAAGCTCAAGCGTTGTTATGCTGTTCTTAACGCCTTATTTTATAAAGTATCCCACAATGTTGTTCCCTAAATAGTAGAGGATGAAGATTATATTTAACATTCACTGATTTAAAATATTCTAAAAATATGGTTGATTTTAATATTCTGTATACAATGGAGCAAGTGTAAAAAAATGAATTAAAGTGAAACTTTGTGCGCCTGAAATAAATCACCTACAAGGTAAAATATTGATCACTGTGGAGATATATTTTCATTCTGAGCTTGCAGTGATTGCTAACTCCACTTTTGAGTGTTTGTGTCAGCTTAGCGGTCAAGTTTGAGCGGCTGGTTTTGCATCCCGTTGTTAAAAACCAATTCTTCATTTGTTTGTACATTTACTCTTTTGTGCGAAAGGAAAACCATTTCATCAGTGTCATTATAAACATGTGCCCTAAACTTATTTCCTGCTGTGTTCATAAATTATAATCCTTATTTTGTTGTTGTAGCTTTAAATTCTGTGTTTCCCGTCTTGTTTTGCTAGTTTTTTTTTTTTTTAAATAAACTCCTAAAGGGAAGTTGTTTTTAGTTTGAGAGTCAACCAGGGAATATCAAGGAAAAACAACACATTGTGACAATATCAGACCGGGGAGGCATTTTGTGTGGTCCATAAAGGACGGACAATTATTAGATGCTATAAATGTCTTCCCAGACGTTTCACGGTTAAAAAAAAAAAAGAGAATGTTTAAGCTTTTGTACAAGATCTAGTAACTCTGTTTAACGATTGTCAGCCTCAGATCTTGACATAGTTTGTCTTTTATTTTTTTATTGACACCACCAACACTTGGTCAATAATTAACTCTCGGGCTCTTCTGTGTATAAACCTGGGCTTAAATAGCACTCTATTAATATTGACTTTGCTGTGTCAAGCAAACTTGGCGGTATGTGCTTAGAAACACTTTACTGCATTGAAAGCCTGTTGATATCTGTTGATGAAAGAAGAAAGTATAGAATGGAAAGAAAGTAAATGTATACAAAGTTGGCGTCATGAATTTCATTGTTTTTTCGCAGTCACGACATTTCGTAGATCTTGGATGTGCATTTCAACCAGAAATGTTTTTTTTGAATAGTGACCCGATGAACTCGTGACTCAGTCATTTTGAGAGCTTTCAGTCTTTATAAACATTATAGGCAGGCACAATGTTTTCTTGTTTGGAACATTTTTTGTTGTGTCTTCATCTGTTAAACATCAATCCAAACTGGTTTTACATCCTGGCTGTCACTTTTGTTGACAAAGCTTTGCACTGATGCCTCCATGAGGATGGCTCACTCTTTATAAGCCTTGTATTAATTGTTCTTATTAAATTACTTCTTTATCATAGTTATGTGAACATGAACTACACCACAGTTTGCCTAATGCACACACGTAGCCAACTAGTTTTTATTAGGATGTTTCTGTCTTCGCGGTCTAACCATAAGGGATTATTATTATTTTTTTTTATGTCCAAGTTGTGTTTGGGAACTCTAAAAACATTTTAAACAAAGCACCAACCTTCTACATTCGAATAATTTTATTTTTCAATAAGCTGTTTTGATCTGACTTCCTTCTCTTCCATTCTTAGAACCAATATTTTAGGTCTTAAACCAAAATGGTGTCAAGCACCAGTTTATTGCCAAAGTGTCTTAATTATTTAAATTTTAACAGTTCTTCATCCTAATTATTCATCAGATATTTAAATTTTGTTGTTTACTTGCCTTTATTTTTGTCGTCTATCAGTATTTTGTAGATTACAGCACCTCGGAGTACAGTAGTCTCTCGCTACTTCGCGGTTCGTTTACCGGGAACTCGCTCTATCGCGGTTTTTCAAAATAAGATTGGACATGACACAATTGTCTGATTGATGGATGAGCCGCACGATCGGCATGGAATTTTTATTTAAAATGAATTATTTTTAAATGTTTAGTACCGCCTGCACCTCTGTGCAGCCTTACTTCAGGATAAACTTCCTGCTGCAGCTGTTCTGCGTGCATAGTTGAGAAGTGGGCGTGGCCAAGAGCGC